ATCATTTTGCTCATCCCTTTTTTCGCCACAGTTTTTCATTAGCGTAATTTAGGCGTTTTAATGGACTTTACGTGCGTTACAGACATAAATATCGTTTCATGCGAGCAAATACATATGTATGTACATGCGTGCGTTTCTGAAAGTCATACATGCATACCTATAGTACAGGCGGTCACACACATCCAAACAGGCGCACAAGCGTTTCTTGCAGATATCTGCATATCCAATTAACTCAGAAATAAAGTAAAATATTACATAAAAATAAATGAAATTAAATTTAAACATTGAGTTCCGATTGGAGATTTGTTAATATGAGGATTTTAAGCCTAAAATACTCCGATTTAATCAAACAAATTAATCTAATCATTCTTTAGCTTTAGAGTCTAAGGACTAAGACTCTAAAAAATGGATGTTTCAGATCATTAAAAGATTAAATGGGTTTCACGGCTTAAGAAAAAATATTTTTTACTGTTTTCTTTAATTCTATAACATCTCTAGAATATTGTCTTGAATTCTCAAGTTGGTCGCGTAATAGTTTTTCAGATAAAAGGTACGCGCTTGAGGTCAACTACACGCGTTTTTCTGGAAATCGTGTTTTCAAAGTCGGTGGTCAAGATTTCTGTCGAATTATTCAACCGATCTTAGTGAAATCTTACACAGGTCTTCGAGGTATAATTTATAAAGTTGAAGAAAGGATTTTTTGTTTCATTCCAATTATTTAAAATAAGTCGAGAAATGTTCATCGAAATTTGGATTTTGTTGTAAAAACGTCTGCCAAAAATAATATTTTCTCCTATTTGTGTTTTTGTTGATATTTTATTCTTTACTCTTATTAACATTGATGATCTTATAAGGAGTTCTGCTGTCAACACCTCGTTTCCGAGGGACTACTGCAAAGGTCGTCGTAATGGCCGCGTTTTCAATTAATTCTTTAGAAATTTAAAAAAAAAAATGCTTGTAAAATATCTATATTTAATTATTTATTTATAAATGTGAAAAAAATAATAAAATTATTTAATTACACGAAAAATATCTATATTTAATAATAAAATATGTAACCTGTAACCCTTTAACGAAACATTTTATAAGAAAATATTGCACTTTAATTTTAATTCAGTTACAATTTACAATTTTTACAGATCTCTCTAATGCCTACCATTTGCGGCAGTATTCAGCGTTCGGTTCTAGCCGAGCTTATAGCTTCCGTTATATTTTCTATATATTATTGTTGCTTTAAAATTTGCCTCGGGTATCATATCTCACAAATGGCTTATCATGGTACCTCATTAATACCGAATATTTATGTGCGTGTAGAGCGGAGGGCCGAGGTATAAATTTGTCTTATCAGCCAAAATGTCGGCTCAATTATGTAAGCAATATTTTAAAGTGGAGTCACCTGTCGAAAAACGCTCCCATAAATTGCACAGTCGAATAATAAATTCAAAGGATTTATTGTTGTATTTTCACAGTAAGCTCCGAGCAATATTCAAGACAAATACACACATACACGCTCTTTTCATTACTCAATAACGGTTGCTGTAAAAATGGTTGCCGTAGCTTTGACAATCGGCAAATAACTGCATGCGAATGGCTCGTCCCTTTCCGCTTGTAATCGGAGCAACTACTAAAGTCCAACAGTGCTGCCACATGTTTATGTAAGTGCGAGTGTGGCGAAAAGTGTGTGTTTCTTTGTGTTAAAGCCAAGATGTTGGCGAGTTTTGCGGAAGCTTCTGCTCTCGATATTTTTCTTCGGTGGAATTTCATGCAAATTTCATGTAATAATCCACACACACACATACACCCATACGCACATAACTGTATGTTAACATACGACACACGTTCGCCGCCACACTTTATGGGTCCTGCGGGTAAATATCTATTTTGCACATGCAGATGTGTGTCTGTGTGTGTGTGTCAACGGAGTAAACGTGGCAAACATGAGAAAACAAGAAAATATGTATGTATATAGACGTGTGCATATGTATGTGTATTATGCGCTGGCTTAGGAATTTGGTCGAGCTGGAGTCCTTCTTAGTTAGTCAGACAACTTGCTGATCCAGTGCCCGAGTCGTTACATATTTAAACACATGTGTGGTTACATTTGCATTCGAATATTAATACACACACATACATACACGTAACAAAGGCGTGTGGGCGATTTATGCGTGTTCATGCCGCTGCTTAACATGCACGTTCCATGTTCATGCCCTCTCCACCTTCCACTCTGCCACTGTCGCTCATCCCATCCAGTCAGTTGAGCGCTGCTACTCGGCTCTGTGCGTATGTGTGTGTTTGTAATGCCCCAGCATGTCGGATTCAGTCCCACTCTGCTCGGTTTATGAAATGTACTATTTTTTGTCTGATTTGAATGTAATTTTCTCTGTTACACTTTATATTGTATGCGCGTGTTTTGATGTCTGTGCGTGTGTGTGGCTGGGCTGTGAGCTCTTCACACACATGCATTTCGTATGAAAGCAGCTCTGGGCCTTATTTCTTCATATTTAGCGCTTTTTATTTGCGACCTTTCTTTTATCGTTTGGCCTTCTTTCACCCTGACGGATTCGGTGCTTTTTCTGATTTTTGTTAGCAGTTTTTGGTTGTACTACATTTTGCTTTTCAGCGGGGGTGTGTTATCTTTCGATTTCCATAAGTTAAATTTGTGTTTGCTCGTGTCTCGATTGTCGTCCAACCATGACGGGAATGTGATGTTTTGATTTATTTTTATTATGCTATCAGCTTTACTACGAACTACAGCAGTTTTAACAATTTAATTTTAATAAAATAACAATAAAATTCCGAAAAAAGGGAACATATTAATTTTGCCTTTTCATCACTGGAGTGCCAGCAGTTAATATGTTCGAATTAAAAATATCAGCTTGAAAGCCACTTGGTGCATATGTAATATGTTTGTTATCGTTTCGAAATCTTGTGTTCCAATAAGTTGTAGTAAGGCTTCTATAACACGAATTGAACGGTTGCAGGTAGTTAAAAGTGATGTTTTCTAAATCAAATGAGGAAAATTGTTTCAATGATTTGAAATAGTAATTTCATGTAATGACGAATTCGACGTAAAATTCAATCGGAGCCATATATTTTTATTATTCCTCGTAACGAAAATATTGGGTAGTCAAAAAAAATTCATTTCGTATTTTGTCAATAGCTGTCGTTGCAGTCGTATATCTCCAGTGCTACCAATCACATTGTGTCATATAGTATTGGAAAGGTCAGATTTTAAACGTTATTTAACCAAAAAAAAAAAGCTTTCCGTTCTGTTGGAGAGCACCTCGTTCTGGACGACCTATCGTTGAAAAAGTCGCTGAAATTATGGAAATCGCCAAGGAACTTAACGTTCATTATCAAACGGTTTTGCATCATTTAAAAAAGGCTGGCTACAAAATGAAGCTCGATGTTTGGGTACCATGTGAATTGTCTGTGAAAAATTTAATGAACCGAATTAACGTCTGCGATTCTTTGCTGAAAYGAAATGAAATCGAAGCATTTCTGAAGCAAATGGTAACAAGAGACGAAAAGTGGATCAAATACGACAATAATGTGCGAAAAAGATCATGGTCCAAGCGTGCTGAAGCTCAACAAATGGTCGCAAACCCAGGATTGTCGCCTCGTAAGGTTATGTTGTGTGTTTGGTGGGATTGGAAAGGAATCGTCCACTATGAAGCGCTCCAGTATGGTCGAACAATTGATTCTACATTTTACTATCAACAACTGATGAGATTGAAGCAAGCAATCATAAAAAAAACGGTCAGAACTGATGAACAGAAAGGTGTTCCATCAGGACAACTCTGGACCACACACATCTTTGATGACTCGGCAAAAACTGGGAGAGCTTGGCTGGGAAGTTTTGATGCATTCACCCTGACCCTGCACCATCGGACCACCATTTGTTTCGGTTAATGCAAAACTCCCTTAATGGAGTAAAGTTGACTTCAAGAGAAGCCTGCGAAAATTACTTGTCACAGTTTTTCGCCTACAAACCAGAAAAGTTTTACCCAATTAAAACAAAAAGTAAGAGAAAATTGAAAAATTACTTGCATGTTGCCACACGGCAAATTGTATATATATATTGAGCAATATTATAGAAAATTAAATATAATAATGCATCTTTATCAAAATTTTATTTTTTTAAAATAAATTCAAAAACAAAAAAAAAATTATTTTAATGAAAAAACCTAACTAAATCTAGTTTTTGTTATTAAACACATAATTTTCCGGAATTCTGGTTTCATGTCTCATTATCATCACAGCGAACAGAATTATTTTTTCGCTTTCTCTTTGTTTTCACTCGAATATTAGCACATCCACCTATAGCCGTTGCTAATTAAAATTTCAAAATAATTTTGTGCAAAAACAATTGCCAACACAGCGTTTGAACCTGCAAAGAGCCACAAAAGCCGAAGCCGCAGGATTGTGCGCCACACAGGAGCTCCAATAGGCGCGCACTCAGGGGAATACATACCATGTAAATAATAGAATTTTTATGCTGCGCTCAAAACAGCGGTAATTAGAAAAAATTGCACCGCAAAGTGTGCCGCGGCACGCAGCTCTTACGGCTTTTGTGCAACATGCATCGTGCAACGCGCAGAATGTTTGCCCTGCATTTGCTTGATTGGCGCTAAAGTCGCGCGGATGTTAGAAAGCCGCCAAAGCAAAAAGCAAGAATGCAACAATACACAACAACAATGCGCGGTTATTGTAACAAAAAGTCAGGAAATGAGAAAAGGAAAATAAAACTAATGTTTGCATAATTAGGCTCCCTTGGCGAGCCGTCGGAATTGGGTCACACGCACAGTGACGCTACTCGACATGCAACGTTGCTAATGCCACGGCGCTTTAATTAAAAAAAGGGGGCCAATTTTACAAATATTCGAATTTGCTTATTTTCGGAAGACTTTAAATAAATTCAACGAAGAAGAAGAAGAAGTGCAAGTTTTTCGATATTTATTTTTAACAGTTAACTAGTTTCTGATAATGTGAAACAATATTTAACACGACTTGATAATAGTGTCGTTGATCTCGTAGTGGCCGTAGACCGTGCTGAGCAGTGTGTAGATCGTGTTGGGCCAGTTCGTGAACTTCAGCATGCCGGTGTCGGGTGGCATGTGGATGTTTTTGAAGACATACGTGCCCACCGACAAGGGGCAGTCCAAGCTCATGTTGCCACCACTCTTGAAGAGCAGCTGACGTGCCATATTGTTGAAGACCCGTATGCGCTTCACATACTTCCAAAACTCACACGTCTTGTAGGTGGCGTTGTAGAGCGACTTCGGCGGCTCGATTTTGCCCAGCTGATTGCGTTTGGTTTTCAATTGGAGCAGTTGTAGGTGCCAGTATTTTCAGCTCGTAACAGTATTGTGGAGAGAAAGAAGTGAGATTTATCCTGCGAAAATGCTGAAAAAAGTATGTGTAATTAGAAGCCGATCACCTGCCACGAGTAGCCGATAAGCAAGCAACAGATGAAAAGACACAGCATCTTGCATTGTATTCGTTGGTCCATTTATTACGACGATACTATTGTATTATGGGATTTTTTCGTTGCTCCACTTTAGTCAATGCTCTTCAATGCCATTTGTCAGTAGTAACTTGTTGAAGTCATCGCCCACCTGCTACAGACAGTCAAGCCTCTTCGTTGGAATTCGTTGCTCTGCGAAATTACTTGCCCTAATGACTTTTAAATGACACGGCTGAGTTCATGAGTGGTTTACTAATTGTTCCCAATTGTTTTGTCATTTCAATAAAACAACAAGGACAATAAATAAAAATTATAAAAAATGTTTTAATTGTTTGGTTTACAACTCAATTGGGTTTATTTCCGAACACATTCGTCATTAATCAATTTACCGTAATTTTTTTTTCCATAAAAGTGATGCTCAATTCAGTTTACCTTAATGGGAGTTTTTAAATTTGAAACGCTCAATTCTGCCTTAACCTTAGAACTAAAAAGCTGTGGAGCGCAGAATCAGATGAAAAAATGTGAAAGGGAAAGCGAACCCCACATTTTAGGCAGAACCCTACCAAACTGAAGGATTAATCCATTTTGAACTTAAAGTATTTAAGAACGCAGTTATAAATATTTTGAAGGGACTTGCCACCTTTTTGTTTTTCTTAATTTAATACAAATGAATAAAAGGTATGAAAGCCATCAGGTATGTAGCATATTAACAAAAACATACATAAACGAACAAATATTGCAATAAAATACCCAATCAAAGAAGGCTAAAATTTAAATTTATTATTCAACACACTCGCCATGGCAAGCAACACAAATAACGTACAGCATGCATATTTTAATATATTTTAATGTGCTGCACGCCGATTAATTGCTTTGAACAAATACGAGTATTAATTATCTCGATGCGTGATTTTGTTTTTATTTTATTAATGCACAACACACAATTATTTTTTCGCTTCTCGCTAATTAATCACATAAATTGAAATTCACTGCAAAATGAAAGCGATAAAAAGTAATCCGGAGCAAAACGGCCACATGTCCGCTTGTCACGTTTACGAATGAGCCGAACGCTCTGTGCACACATTCCGTTTCAATCCATTTGATTGATAGATAGGCAATAAAATATTTATTAAATAATTGAAATTATTATTGGGCATTGTGGCGGAATGGCGATGCAGAGAACAAGCGAAGTGGCCATTTGTGCAGACAATAAATAATTGACTGCATCCACTCTTATTAAATGAAATGTTGAAAGGGAAATGGCCTGTTGGTTGTTGGGTATATATAACTATGTATATGGAAGGGGAAAGTTGGGGCCGGCTGAATAAAATTCCGTTAAGGTTATAATTTTGGTATAGCCAATATTTTCATATCAATGGAGTGAGCTGAAATTTAAATATAGTATTAGATATGATATTTAGAAATGCTTCAACATCAGGTATCGCTGTGGGAAGTTCATTTGTAAAAAATGATGACGAAAAAGCACTTAGAAATTATAATTAAATTCCACGGATAAATAATATTTCCAAGAATGTTTTTTGCTAAGTTGGTAGAACAGTCTTTAATTATTATGCCAAAAACGAGCGCGTTCACAGCAGAGAGATGGGTAGAGAGCTCGTCAATTCTCGCCATCTCGTTCGAATAATTTTGGTGGATATTTTGGGTATGAAGCGCGTTCTAACTCGACTCGTCTCGATAAAGCAGAATCTTTTTCAAAAAGATTGCCGTAAACAGGTATCTTTTGACATGCGTGATCTTGCGAATGCAAACAAGTCAACACATACGCATTTGAATGGAACCCATTTTCAGTCGATCGTAGAGATAATTAAACATTTTACGTTTTATTTACAATTTCCGGATATTTTTTTGACACAATCTAAATAAAACAATTAAGATTAATATTGATAATTTTTGGATGATTGCTTAACTATCGCTATTAATAATAGAAAGATTATCAAATACATTCTGTTTTTTCTTTTCATGCGTTTTTTGCATTTTCTAAGAAAATTTACCATAGTAAAGTATATATTTTTTATATCACCAGAAAGTAGAGATTTCTGAAAACATAAGACAGGTAGTTGGTAGGAGGGTGGCCTTGTTGTACTTCGGGCTCAATAAACACCAGTTGTGCCATTTTGATGCACTAGTCGTGGACTTTTTTATTATTGCTATCACGTTTCATCTTGTCGTTCAAACCATTTTGTGGTTTCGATGAAGCTACTAGTATCCGTTATGCTTGTTGTAGACATCCATTCACGGTTTGGTGCTTGATGCATTCCAAGTGTTCTGTGTCGGATCTGCGATAAGGCTGGGCATGCACAGAGAAAGTGGAAAATTGTTTTCTTTTTCCTACTAGTTCGCAGTCTCGGCAGATGTTGTTGTAGAGCATACCCATTTTGGAGTTATATTACATTTTGTTATATTTTTCCATCTGTTCGGAAAATATAAAATTAACTAACTTAAAAAAAAAACAGTCTAATATTTTGTCTTTTAAATTTTTTTTATTGAAAAGTACGTTTTTTTTTGGATATTTATTCAATATAAAGAGAAAAATTAAATACATAAGAAGGTAAGTTTACACCAAATTTCTTGAATTAAGGAATTGTTTGTACAAGATAAAAAATACCCAAAATCTGGGTTATTTTAATCCTTCACATAAATTTTGAGGTTATGTCAATAAAAGTCTGTATACAAATATTATAGATATTGTGATTACCTACCACATTGCTATATACCTTTTTTTTATATATTTTTTTTTTAATGCTTACTATTTCGTCTTTCTTTTTTATGGTCTTTCAACCTATTATGAACTATTCAACCTATTTTTATCATTTTCCAAGGCTTCTGCACTAGTCTAAGAAGATATTTTAAATTACCAATATTCTTCCTAATCCATAAAATAATATTATATATTTTATAAATTTTATTTGTGCGTGGCTATAAATAAAAGAAGAAAAAACATTAACTTCGGCTGCACCGAAGCTAATATACTCTTCACAGGTGTATTTCTTTTAGTAACTATGTGTCCAGTTTGTATGGAAGCCATAGGCTATAGTAATCCGATCTGAACAATTTTTTCGAAGATTACATTGTTGCTTTAGAAAACAATGCATACCAAATTTTGTGAATATGTCTTGTCAAATGCAAAAGTTTTCCATACAAGAACTTGATTCCCATCGTTCAGTTTGTATGACAGCTATATGCTATAATAAGCCGATATGAACAATTTCTTCTTATATTACATAATTGTCTTAGAAAATAACTAAGTCAGTCGAAAATGCCCCTATAATGAAAGTATATTTACTCTCCAAGTAATAATTTATGTAATGCTTCAGATAATAAAAGCTATGCCACAAGTACGTAAAATCACACTCCTTCATTGCATAATTTATTTTTGCCTTTGCTTCTGCTTATATGAAAACACACATATATATGTAGGTATGTATATAAAACATAAATATTGGTTTAATATTATCCACAATAGTTTCGACTCGTCGAGGTTTGTGGTTGCCAACAACGGCAGCAACAACTACTAACCGAATCGAAGCAAATATTCATGGTGAAACCGCAAATTAGCTTCCACTCTGACACTTAGCAGCATAGAATGGATTTGGAAAATGTGAAAATCAAAGCAGCATAAAATCAAGGAGGGGAAAATTGCTGTATAGAGTAAAAGGAGCAACAAATGATGTTGAAAGCATAGTAATGCTTCCCTGAATTTGTTTGAAAATAATAGTTTTGCTAGCGTGTAATTAAGTTAATGACAACGAGGGCTTTTAACATGTTGGTTAGCACTTCTGCTTTCAGCTACTTCAAAGGAAACGTGTTGTGTATTAAGCGCGGTTTAGTCCTGCGACAACGTGAAGTCGTGCGATTCACACTTGGTGTGGGTAATTGCGAATAATTGCTTTTAACGCCAATGTTCTACATTTCACCCCCAACAAAACAACAACAAATAATAACAATTTTCCGGTAAATTTTCATTTTGCTGGCGAAACTAGTTTATGCCACATGCATTTGTATACACGTGTTTATATTTATGTACTTATTCAATAATTGTATGAGCATGTGCGTGTGGTAAAATACACGAAATCCACGCCGCCAAGCGTTCAAACTAATTACAAAACAAGCGAACTTTTCAATGAACTCTTAGCCACAAACGAGAGCTTTACTAATAGCAACAATTTAGTGAGTTTTGTTGCCCTTTTTGCCATTTCGGATTTGTGCATTGAGAAACTGTGGTTTCGCTAAGAGAGTGAGGAATAAAATAATTCAGTTAAATATGCACTTTGAATTTAAAATTTTCAATAAAATTGTATATATATTTATTAGTTTTTTCAATTTTTTTATTAAATCATATTTTTTACACTCAGCAGAGAAAAATTGGGTTAAAATGCTTTTTGCTTGTATTTTCAATAAATATTTATACATATGCCTATATTTTCCACATTAATAACTGTATCTGCTTAGTCTGTGTACCTTTGTTCCCTAGTGGCAGAAGTTGATAGCCAACATTGGTTTTTTATTTATTTTTTCTCGCATATTTAAAATTCAATTAAATTTCTGCAATTTTGCGGTGGAGACTAATTTTATTAGAGTTCCATAATTAATTGCCAGTAAACTCCTAACCTAAAAGCATTTGTTTTTGCTGAACCATAACTGCAACTTTGTCACTATCGCACTCACCTCCTCAGTCCACGGCGTGTGTTAGGCGCAAAAAGTTTATCACTTTCCACCCGAAGTTCTCCATCCATTCGATTATGTGTGCGCTCCGTTTCACTTCCACCATTTTCATTGTTACGAAATGCCTTGTTGCGCCTGAACGGTTGTTGTTTCACTTTGTCGTCGCATTTGCTGTGGACGGAAAACTTT